TTTCTAAGCAGCAAAGCTCTTGCACAGAGAAAAAGATCCATCTTCAGCTGCCGCCTACTCCCTTTGCAAAGCTGAGCCCGTCACTAGGGCCCCAGACAAGTGCATGACGCATTACCAGCTCTGTTTCACAGGCTGGGGAAACCGAGGCACGGAGGCACAGGGTGCGGATACACAGGGCAATGGTAGGGGGATTTGGTTACCCCAGATTTTGTCGGCTACGGGGCAGTGAAGCACTGCCCGGGGCCGAAACGGAGGAGATGGTGCAGAACGGACAGACCCCCTGTGCGAATTACCGTACTGTCATGCATACAACACGCCCCTTTCCCCTCCAACATGGGAGCAATCATGAGAAGCATCACAGTAGCAATTAGAGATCTCCCCAGACAGGCAGAGCCCCATTCTGGGGTGTGCATTCCTAGGAGAATTATGGTAGCAACTAGAGACTTCTCCCTAACCCAAACCAGGGCCCCGTTCTGGGGTGCACATTACAAGGAGCATTACAGTAGCAACTAGAGAACCCTGCCCCAACCAAAGCCGGGGCCCCATTCTGGGGTGTGCATTACTAGGAGCATTATGGTAGCAAGTAGAGACCCCCCCGCCGCCGCCACCTCCCCACACCCAGTCAGAGCCAGGGTCATTCTGGGGTGCATGTTATTGGGGCAGGGAGCTGAAAGCAGAGCAATGGATGGGGCAGGAGGCACGGAGTGGGGATCTGAGAGCAGAGCAGCCGACAGGGCTGGGGGCTGAAAACAGCAATGGATGGGGCCGAGGGTGGCAAACTCAGCACCAGGCAGGATCCAACCGTCCCCCCACTCCCCCCAGGTCGCCTTGCTTCTCGCTGGCATCTCCTCCCCCAGCGAACCCAGGGCCCCACTGATGGTGGCCAGACCTCAGCACACCCATCCGTCATTGCCCGGCATAAATATTTCCTGCCAGGAGACAGTGCCCTTATTAGGAGCTGGGAGACGTCCCGAGTCAGTTAGCTGGAAAAATGAGCAGCCAAGGGACTCGGAGCCCCGGGGTCCCGTTCCCCGTGGCCAGGCTCCGGCAGGCCACTCCAAGGCTGCAACCTGAACGGACCCCCCGGGCCGAGATCCGGCCGCGCTGGGCAGAGCCCCCAGGCC